GTTGAGTCAGGGCAAAGCTCAGTTGAGAGGGGGACACCCACGTTCTGATGGGAGTGTTTTCCCCCTTGCTCCTGATCGTAGTAAACCCAAGGACGCTGGGCAGGCTGCCTGACCCTGTGTCCTTAGTGTACAGGAGGGCACTTGGCACAGCGAGTGCTAGTAACCACTGTTGAGTGAGCAGTAAATGCTCAGATATTTTTTCTCACAGCCACCATGTGCTGCCAACATTGCTACAACTGCCTCACAGAAGAGGGTGCTGAGGCTCAAGGAGATGAGGCAAGGGCCCTGCTAAGGCCCCATCTGGGAGGTGAGGGTACTGGTTCCAGCCACGGTCTGCCAGGTACCCTGGCCTCCAGGCAGTAAAGCACAGATCACCAAGCAAGGCCAAGTGAGAGTGCCACTCAACTCCAGAGGGGCTGTACATAAAGCTCTGGTCAAGAGGAGGCTGAAGAGATCACTCTGGCCCCTATAAGTCAGTTCAAGGAGATAGAGTTTGATGGGCACCTTAGGAGGGTGGTAAGCATAAGAGGGACAAGATGAAGAGGCTCTCTGGCTGCTGGAGGGAGAGTAGAAATGGAGCAGCTGTTGCTGTTTGGGTGAATGATGATGGAGGTAGGCACCGGGGAGGGCGTGGTCATGGTGGAGGGAAGTACAGAGTCAGAAGCCATTTAGAAGATTGACTTGACAAGGCTTGGTAATGTGGGAAATGAGGGAGAAAGAAGGAATGGATGAGGAGCTGCAGAGTGATACCACTAGCTCAGATGGGGAAGAGTGGCAGAGAAGGCAGTTTAAGAGGTTGTTAACTTCAGTTTTGAATACCTTGAACTCTGTTTGAGATCCCTGACAAACCTGTGACCCTCAGGTCGCTCTCGGAGGATTCTGGGATTCTGATCCTTAGCAGAGTAGGAAACACATCTAGAGTTGAGCCAGACAGTTCTGGGCACAGAGTAACGACACGTCTCTTTCTTGAGTCTTCTGTCTGGGACACATCCCCTTTCCAAGCTGCCAGGTTCCTGCCCCTTCTTAACCTGGTTCTCTGACTGTTCCTTCCAACCTGTGAGCCACTTGCTCACTTCCAATCACTCCACCATTTCCTCAAGACTTTCCAGAGCTGATTTCTGTTATAGCATCCCAGAAAAACACGAATCAGGAATAACTCTGAGGGGTAATGAAGACAGCTTCAGGAAAGGAGTTCACCAGGCTGAGAAAGGGGACAGGATTCCAGACAGGAGGTTCAGTAAAGGCAAAGGTGTGGCTGTGTCTGCCTCCTTTAGAAATGAAGAGTGAAGTTGCGGTTTAGCGTTCTTGTGGGGGAGCATTCAGTTCAGTCGCTCAGTCATGTCCCACTCTTTGCTACCCCATGAACCGCAGCACGCCAGGCCTCCCTGTCCATCACCAACTCCCGGAGTCCACCTAAACCCATGTCCATTGAGTTGGTGATGCCATCCAACCATCTCATCCTCTGTCATCCCCTTCTCCTCCTGCCCTCAATCCTTCCCAGCATCAGGGTCTTTTCAAATGACTCAACTCTTTGCATCAGGTGGCCAAAGTATTGGAGTTTCAGCTTCAGCATCAGTCCTTCCAATGAACACCCAGGACTGATCTCCTTTATGATGGACTGGTTGGATCTCCTTGCACTCCAAGGGACTCTCAAAAGTCTTCTCCAACACCACAGTTCAAAAGCCTCAATTCTTCGGTGCTCAGCTTTCTTTATAGTCCAACTCTCACATCCATACATGACCACTGGAAAAACCATAGCCTTGACTAGACAGACCTTTCATGGCTGCAATCACCATCTGCAGTGATTTTGGGGGAGCGTAAGAGACTAGAAATCAGTTGATCTCCAATGTGAGGGCCTGGAAGGTGGAGGTGGGCGTCTGAAACACCCTATAAAGACCATGCCAAGAAGGATGGACTCCCAGGGAGTCCAGAGACATCTATCTGCCCATGCACTTGTGCATCTGAAACTGGTTAACTGTTCACCAAATGCTCCCTTTATAGCCTGTGCACACAGCTAGACTACATTTCCCAGCCTCCCTTGCAGTATGAGTCCTGGCCAGTGGGATGTGGGTAGAAATGCTCTGTATCACTACCAGGCCAAGTCCATAAAAGCCTCCTTTGAGTGAACCCTCTTTCTCTCTCCTCTGTGGACCTGAGGGATATTGATTTCCAAGGCCAATAGGGAGCTACCTGAGGAAAGCAGGCCCTCTAACAGCCCGTTTTTAAATCATGGTATGGAGCAGAGTCTTCTTATCAGCCAACTGAATACAGATTAGACTTCTATTGGGTTAAGCCATTGGGCTTTCAGGCTTTGTCTGTTATGGCTGCTAGCCTTAACTAGTGCAGATTCGCACATCTGTGGGTTACTAATACAGATGTGCATTTGGTGGGTAGTCATTGGAAGTTTATACCCTGGTTTAGCACTGTGGTTTCTTCTCTTATTTGAACCAGGAACAAATCAGATGAAAGAACTTTGACTGAATTTAACCTTAATTAAAAGCCAGCTTGTCGGCTCATCGTTCTCCCATGGCTGGGCAGGCTGATGTGTCCCAGAGGCCAACCAAATCCCAGAGAGTTTCCCAGGGTAGATCATGCAGGCACCTGAAAGGCAAAGGTCTGTGAAGGTACTTTTGGAAGCCCAAGAAAGCTCTGATACAGAGTGTACCATTTTGTGAGCATAGCTGTATTTTTATAAGCTTCTCACAAGACTCAAAGAGGTTATGTGTATATGCATGGCTGAGTCCCTTTGCTGTTCACCTGAAACTATCACAACATTGTTTGTTAACTGGTTATACCCCAATACAAAATAAAAAGTGAAAAAAAAAAAAAAAAAACAGCTTAGGACCCTCTGTCCTGGGAATCATCTCATGCTCTCAGGGTTCTAATGAGCTTCAAAGCTATTATCAGGAGGCTAAATCTCCTTTCTTTCAATTTATATTTTCAAGATTTTGAGGCATTTTCACAAATGTTTCTTACAGGCATGTCAAGTTCAAACATTTAAACATTTTAATCACCCAGTCACCCAAATAAAATGTGAACTACCCTTGACAGCCCCCTAGTTTCTTGATTCTCCATCCCTTAGTTTAAGTCCCATAGTTTCTTCCAACTTCACCATCACCAGGAGCAGTACTCTCTGCTAGATCTTGCTTCTATCCTTATTGTGCCCTCAGTTCAGGTCGGTCGCTCAGCTGTTTCCAACTCTTTGTGACCCCATGGACTGCAGCACGCCAGGCTTCCCTGTCCTTCACCAACTCCAGAAGCTTGCTCAAACTCATGCCCATTGAGTGCTGATGCCATCCAACCATCTCACACTCTGTCGTCCCCTTCTTCTCCTGCCTTCAGTCTTTCCCAGCATCAGGGTCTTTTCCCATGAGTCAGTTCTTCTCGTCGCGTGGCCAAAGTATTGTGCCCTACTTTGTTCTAATATTATTCTGGTTAGCCAGAATGATCCCATTAAAATTTACAACAGATTATATCATCCTCTGCTCAAACCCCAGTAGCTTCCCACATCAAGAAGAGAAGCCAGAGCCTGGCCTACGAGGCCCCTGCTGCCCCTCTCCACTTGTCCCCTTCTGCCTCTCCCCTGACCTAATGCCAGCCACACACCTTGGGGACAGTTCATCTACCCCAGCAGGCTCCTCCCACCATGAAGCATTGACTCTTGCCGCCCCTCTTGGCCTGGAATACCCTGCCCTCAGGTATATACATGGATTGCACCCTCCTCTCCTGCTGGTTTGAGTCAAATGGCCCCACTTGGGAAGGCCTGCCTCTGCCACTCTGTCTGAAATTGCCACCCACCCCTTCCTTGTTCCTTCCCCTCACTTATTTTTCTCCTTAGCACTGATTACCATCTGACTTACTATGTAATTTGCTCATTCTTCTTGGTTATTGCCTTTCTCCCTCACTAGACTCTGAAGCCTCACAGGGAGGGATTGTTTTTGCCAGTTTTGCTCACTGCTGTATCCCAGTGCTCAGCACCCTGAGCACTCAGTGAGCACTTGCTAAATGGATTACTCAGAAGCCTCCTGGCGTCCCTGCCAGCTGCTCCGTCCCCGGATCCACACCTGCCTCACCGAGTGGTGACATCCTCGTGGGCAGGCGGTGCCTTGTTCACCACGGACTCTCCAGCACAGAGCCAAGTAGGTGGTGGGGACTCAGTAAACAATGGCTAATAAGAGAAGGCCGAGGACTGCATCTAATTCACATTTGGTTCTCAGCACCTAGCAGAGCAATGAGATCTAGATTCGTTCAGGCTTGTGGCAATGGTAACTGAGTACCTGCTTATACTTTCATATTAATTTTTTTGTTTATATTATTTTAATAAAAAGGTGACCTGAAGGAAGGAATGCCTGTTGCTCTGGGTTATCCTATGTGTCCTCTCACAGACATGACCACCTGGCACCCAGACTCAGGCCTAGGACTGCAGCTCCTCCCTATGCCGAGGCCTCCACAGAGCTGTGCTTCCACCCAGGGAGGTGCAGAGGGCATGTCGGTGCAGAGGAGGCAGGTGGGCCCTAGCTCCAGCAGACAGTGGCACCAGGGAACGGGTGGAGGTTCTGAAGCAAGAATTTATTCCAGGTGCATATGTGGGTGTGGACAGCAGAGACCCATATTTAAAGCAGATCAGAAGTCTCTCACAGTCTCCAGCCCCAGCCATTCCCTGGCCACCTCCCTGGCCTGAGCTGGAGCAAGGGAAGGGCCTCCTATTCCCCCCCCCCCCCCAAAAAAAACCCCACAGGTACTTAAGGGCTAAAACAGAACCATACAGCCTTATTTTTATTAGCATCTAACAAGAAAAAAAAAAAAATCAAGATTCCCTCCAGCCCTACCTCTGCCACCTGAGCCCTCAGGGAGCAATGTCAACTGGGGGCGCACTTGTTTCCAGAGATCTTCTTGGAGCCTGGGCACCTATGTGCTGCCACCCCTGTGCCTGCAGGCCGACCACAGGCCCCCTCCTCCACTCTGTGGGGACAGAAGGGCAGCTGGCATCTCTCCAGCCCTTAGCCATCAGCCTTGGGAACTTGGAAAAGATTGGCGATGTCTAGCAGAGCTTGGCGGATCTGGTTCCCAAAGCGCTGGGCATTCTGTGGAAGTCAAGAGTTCAGACCAACCTCCAGGAGAGCCCCCCGCCCCCTGGCCCCAGGAGCAAGGGTGCTTCCCGACGCGCCCTGGGCTGACCCTCCTCAGGAGGAGTAGCAGCAGGGCAGACTCACCGTCTCTGAGCTGGAAAACTTGCTGGAGACGTGGAAGAAGATGGTGTCCTCACCCGCGATCATGTAGGAAACGCCGTAGCCGTCATCTGCCACCTGAGGCAGCACGGAGGGTAAAGAAGGAGAGGTGAGCTGACCTTGAAGATCTGAAAGCCAAGCTGATGTTATCCTTGCTCTGCCCACAAGATTCACAGGAAGGTGCCCACCCCCAGGAAACCATGGGAAAACAGAGGAGTTCTGCGCCCCAGGGTTGCAGACCCCACCAGACCCCCATCCACGACCTTGCGTTCCCTCAGGAGGCTCAAGAGCACCACCTCTCTCCAGGGCGTCTCCAGCTCCCTGACCAACTAGCCTGTGTGAGTCTCAGTGGGAGAGCTGGACTCTCTGTAAGCCCCCTTCAGAGGGCACATCAGCTCCAGGCAGGGTCACTCCAGCAGGGGGTGTTGACAGGGGTGAGGTCCCATCCACTCTCCTCCCAACAGGTCGACAGGTACCCATTCTGTTCCCATGCCAGGCAGGTCCAGGCCTGTGCTCTTGCCCCTGGTCTGACCTCCTTGAGTCCCTGCACTCTCCAATGACACCCCTGTCCCCTGGTCCCACCCACCTGCCCACCTTCAAGAGCACTTACAGGGCCAAAGCCACCGCCAGCACCCAGGTGTTTGGGGTACTTGTTTGGGTCGAACATGCGGATCTGGAATTGAGCGATCTGGCTAGTGGAGAGGCGCCAGGGTTCTGAGAGCACCTGTGACAGGGAGGACCTGCAGTCAGATGCTCTGCACACCTGCAGACAGATGGTGCCTGAGCGCCTGTTCAAGCCTGGCACTGTCCCGGCTGAGGACGCAGACGGGACAGATGCAGGAGCTTCCTGACTGTGGCCCTGATCCCCTAGTCTGTTCTCACCATCACAGCATCTGCACAAAACCTTCCATCACGGGACCTGCCTGTTCCACCCCCGCCTCTACCCGCACCCTGAGCTGTTGTTCCATATCCCTCCCCGTGGCCTCAGTGGCTGTCTGGGCACTGAAGGCTCCCTCCACCCAGACACCCCAGTCCCCCTGAGCCTCTGCACTTCCCTCATGGCTGCTGCCACCCCTGACATGTCATGTTTGTCCGTCCATCCCCCCTCATGCCAACACCCACTCTACAAGGGGAAGGCTGCTGCTCGGGGCCAGTCCACAGGCCTGGGTGGGGCATGGAGCAGGAAGAGCCACTGAGAATGGGCCTAAGGACACAGACACACCCGTCTACACTGACCTCAGCCAGGAAAGGGGATTCAACTCCCAAGTACTTGGAGACCACATAAAGGCAGAAGAGGTGCCTGTCAATCCCAGCCCCTGTCATGGCCAGGCGGTACATATTCTGGTGCTTCTCAGCAGCCTTCCGGAATAGATGTTGGAGGTCTTTGTTCTGGGGGCAGAAGTAGGGTCATGAAGAGTAGGTCTGACCTTGAACCAGCAGGAGGCCATGCGGTCAGCTCAGCACGAGGCCACAGGGGGCTTACCAGGTGGTGCCCCTGCATCATGGCCTGAACAAAGGCCGTGGACTCCCGGGTGCAGGAACGCACAGTCTCCGTCCGGCCCTCCCGGAACATTCTCGTCATTGAGGCTTCATAGGTCAGGCAGAACTTGCCCCTGTCCTGGGGAACACAGAAGGCTGAACCTTGGGGTGGCCCTGGGTGTCACCCCACCTGCTCGTGGCCCGGGGCTCCTACCCGGAAGTGCGCCAGCTGCAGGGCGATCTGCACGAAGGCGTCAGGGCTGGTGCGGCACTTCTTGATGAGGCCTTTGCCAAAGGGCAGGAACTGGAAGCAGTACAGCTCCACGTCATCCGCCAGCGCCTTGGCCACCTGGTAGGAACTCTCGATGACCGCCTGGCACTGCCAAGACACGGAGGGGTCAGCTGGGGGCAGAGCTCTCCAGCAGGACTCCAGTGTCACGTCCAGAAGGCCCGAGGGTTAGTAACGGAGGAAGGCAAGGCTGGGCAGGCCTCAGTGTGCCCGACATCCTCAGGAGGAGGCGCCACAGACAGGCCGGGGGCATCAGCGCAGAGGCCCAGCTGGGCTCTGTTGGGGAGGGAGTCACTGACAGGTGCTTTCCAGACATGAGCTCACACCTCACGTCTTTCTCCAACCCCCAAGACAGTCCTGGGATCTCTGTTCTCCCTGGAGTCGGTCTGGACCGTGAGAGACACTTGGACCTTTCCCCTGAGAGTGGGGCTGGGACAAACAGGCCCTTGTCACTCTCACACACCCACCCCTGCCCCTTCTCGGCCCACACACCTGCTCTGGAATGTCCCACTTGAGTCGCTGAGGGGGGGGCAGCACAGGGTTGGGCTTGCCCAGACAGTGCCCCGTCTCTGTGTAGCCCAGATGGAAGGAGTCGGTGCCCAGGACAAACTGCAGGGGAAGGTCAGGCTGAGAGGCCATCCTTGCCCTGCCGCCCCGCCCCGAGCCTGCCCTGCAGGGCCCCTCCCAGGGCCTGTTACCTCCCAGAGGTGCCCTATGATAGGGGCATCTGCCCACGCGTGCTCTGTGTTGAGTCCAAGCTGGCCGTTCTTGAAAGAGATGAGCGTGAAGGACTTGTCGAACCACCTGCAGCGGGAGGAGAAGGGCAGCGGGGGCAGGCGGGGGGACCCCGGGGGCACGCGAGCGGGGGAGCCGGGGCATGGTACCTGTTGTAGCAGTTGCCGTGCAGCAGGGCCTTGCCGTAAAGGCTGAGGCTGGCCTCGTTCTCTGGGTCATAGTGGTGAGACTCCTCATCCAGAGCCACGAAGAACGCAGCGCGCTCAATGGCGTCCAGGGCAGCCTTGTTCTTGCCAGAGCCGAAGAAGGCCTGGCGTGCCTGAGCCCACTCCACTCTGAGGGCACAAGGGCAGAGTGAGTGGGGCCCCCTACACGATGAGAGCCCTTCCCAGGACCTGTGTCCCCACCCTCTGCACACCCCCATCCAGCCACCAGCAGTTAGAGGTCACAGCAGCAACTCCCCGTTGCTACCATCAGCGTTCCTGATGACCGCAGGTCCTAGTTAACACAGAGGACGCCGGGCCCATGGCCCTCCCCAGGTCAGGCCTTCGGCCCGAGTGCCAGGGTGGCACGCGGGACCGAACTCGTCTCCTCTTGGCGCCCCAACTTGGGCCCCTATACCTTCCCCCTGCAGTGAGGGCTGCCAGCCTCTCCTCCCCGGGCTGGGGTGGGGAGGGGTCGTCCAGGATCCTCTGGAACTGCATCTCCAGGTCCCGAGGCTTGAGCAGGCGGGAGCCCTCGTAGAGCCACACCTTGAAAAAGCGGCCCTTGTGGTAGACAGCCACGTGCCTGCTGTCCGGGAGGTGCTGGAGCACGTCTGTGGCAGAGGCCAGGGTGTACTCAGACAGAAGCAGGGCCCCCCGCCCCACACACCTCCCCAAAGGCCCCCAGCCTCACACCAGCTGCCACGAGGACCTCCTCCTGGCCTGCCTTCCCCCAACCTTTGGGCATCGAGCCAGAGCTTCCGTGTCTCTCACTTAATGCCAGCCACAGTCCCATGAGGCATTTCACAGAAGAGGAAGTCTGAAGCTCTAGGAAATCACAGACTGCCCCAGAGCCAGAAATGCAGGTACTGCTCCGGTGCCCCTGGGCAAGCCCGTCCCTCCTCCTCTACAGGCTCCTCAAGGCAGGAGCTCCATTAGGCTTCCTGTTGCTCTTTGTGCAGGAGACCTCCCCTGCACCGGGAGCCCCTGCAGGGAGGGGCTCCGTCCTGGTCTCTCAGGGTCCCAGTAGTAGCATCGTGCCTATAAACAGTAGGTGTCTACTATTGGCCACAAACTGACTATCTTTCGCAGTTTCACGACCCTAAGACGCTCAGAGGCTTAGGGAGCAGCAGGCAGCAGGGCACTGGCATGGTGGGCCCATGGCTGGCAGGGAGGGGCCCCCACCCACGCCCCAGCATGGGTGCCTGGCTGCGACCCCATACCTGTGTCCTTCCCCGGGATGCGAGTGGTGTTGAACATCCGCTCCATCTGCCAGGAGCACATGGGCACGAGGCCCAGCGCCATCACCTGCGGGGGAGGCCAAGCACAGCTCAGATGCAGGCCGCTCTCCTGGTCACGCCCTCACCCCTAGCACAACTCACAGGCTTGATCTCTTCACGGTCCAGTTTACGGCGGTACGTGATCATGGCATGGACAACATTTCCCAGGCGGGCAGCCTGCACGTCTGTGTTCTTGACAAGCACTAGGTCCTACAGGGAGACAGCAGAGCCTGCAGGGAGGCTGTGACGGATGTGCACAGTGGCCCCTCTGTCTGGGGTGTCTCGTCCCTCCCCCAGTCCATCCTACGTACTCTCTGAGGCCAAGTACCAGAGGTGAAACGCATGACTGGTCACATCACCCCCTGCCCTGGCTTCGACCTGAGCTGCTTTTCCAAACCTCTTGTATCTGTTGACATTTTGTTTATTTTTCTTTGAGGAAGAGGTTCCACCACCACAGAACAGCCTAAAACCTCTGGCCTAGACAAGCTGCACATAGGTTTCTAGAAAGATAGCTTTGTGGAGGAGGGGAATGGCAGCACCCTACTTGCAATGTGCTTTGGAAGTAGGAGAGGAGAGAGGCAAGCAGGCCTGTGGCTGGGCGGCATCCCCGGCTGGCTGTGCACACTCGGCCTGGGAGCAGGAAAAGGGCTGGTCCCGTGGGGTAGGGACCTGAGCCCTAACAGAAGCAACTCTGGATCTACTTAAGACGCACTTAGGGAAGTTCCCTGGTAAGGTGTCAGGACAGCTGGGAAGTCAAGGCTGGAAAGCCAGTGAGAGAACAAGGAAGGGAGTGACAGAGCCTGAGCTGGGCAGGGCAGTGAGCCTGAGGAGCCCTGGGGGCGACAGCATCAGGCCGCGGGGGCGACTCGGTTCTCCGGATCTCTAGTATTTCCATCACCTGAAGCAGCCTCCTGATGACTGTTCTAGGACACGCACCCCCATCTTCCCTCTGCTTCAGGCCTCACTCCAGAACCTCCACTTGCTCACAGAAACCACCACCAGGGCTCTGAGCCGTCCTCCAGGTCCTGCCCGGAGATCAGAGTGGGGACAGAGCTGAGCACAGCCCAGCCCGTGTGGCTCCAACTCTTACCATGACGTAGTAGTTGCTGTTGACCATGAGGGGGTTCCTGCCCCGAAGGTAGACGTACTCTTCCCACCAGTCGCTCACCTGGGGGTGGATGGGAGGCTAGAGTCAGGGCAGAGGGTGCGGCGTGGACAGCCAGGACACAAGGAGGGTGAGGGTAAGCCCAGGAGGTAGAACTCACATAGTTGGTTGCCCACCAGGACTTGAGTACCAGGTACTTCTGCAGCCTGGGGGCAGTCTTCTCCTCGAACTCCTTGGCCAGCGCCTCCATTCGATAATATTGCTCATCATCCAACAAGTGTTCCACGGATTCTAGGTACTGTCCAGGCAAGTCACCATCAGCGTGAGGGCCAGGCAGTAGGAGCCGCCTGTGTCCTGACCTTCCTCCAAGCCCAGCCTGACTGCTCCCTCTCAGGCTGACTCTTTGTCGGGGGCAGTCTCACGGTTGAATGAGTTCTTTGAGTACAGCCTGCCCTGCACACTGGGATGCCTGATCCAGGCCCTCACCCGATGAACTGTGGCTGGCACACTGGGCACTGGCAGCTTGGGCAGAGATGTCTGGAAGCTGTAGAGCATGGGCCGTCGGCTGGACAGAAGGCGGACACAGACCTGAGGATACAGAGTGGAGAATGTTGAGGGGGAGGCTGGAGGAAAGAATGGAAACTAGCAAACCTTGGAGGGGCTGCCCCAGACCCTCAGAACCGGGACAAACCCCGCCAGGCACCAGTGCCTGTCTGGTTGTCCCCTCCCCCCAGCTCAGAGCCCAGAGTGAGGCCCCGCGGTCTCAATCCAGATGCCTGGATCCCTCCACCGGCTTCCACTCACAGCCCAAACTCTGGTCAAGTGGCTGGTCTGGCCGTGCATCTCAAACATCCAACCATGGTAGGAAAGAAGCAGTTTCAGGCTTTGGCGGAAGAAGAAGATGCCCATCATCCAGACCCCCGTGGAGAAGATGGCCATGCTGAAAAGTCTCCGGGTGTATGGGGTCCGGGAGGGACGTCTGTCAGAGAAGGGGAGAGGCCTGCAGGTGGTCCACTTGAGGCCAGCCTCAGGGAAATTCTGATTCTGCAGACCTGATGTATATAAAGCCATCTAGGGGTATGCACCAAAGGAGAAAAACTCCCTGGATATACTCAACATCTGAGCACCTGAGAGCATCACACACGAACTCACAGAAGCAGGGACTGAGATGGCGGCTGTCTCCAGGGAAGGCTGCCCTGTGACCTCCAGTGGCTACTGACCTGTACCTGCCCAGGAGTCTTGGCCTCAGAGCCCACCCAGCCCTCTCTCATGGCCTTACTTCTTACCCCTCAGGAAGCCATCTCTGGATATAATAGACCAGTCCCATGGAGATGTCCAGGTTGTAGTAGGAGGAACCCACTGTTGCCATAACCACCACTAGCCAGCTGGTGGGGCTGCCAGGGTACACACCCCTGATGATGCCATTCTGTGGACAGAAACAGGCGTGCTCACAGAGCAGGAAGGACTGGGGTGAGCGGAAGCCTATGAGGTCGTTGCCCGCTTTTACTCCTCCTCCAAGTTCCCACACCTGCAGTACCTGATTACTGTGTCCCCTGACCACCTCCTGCTCCCCTCTCCCCTCCCCACCTTGAGCACCCCTCTGGGTTCTGCAGGGCTGGAGCCTGTCACTCGGCAGAGCTGCCAGCCCAGGTAGGGGAGGACGACCTTGACAATGGGCAGGAGCTGACACCCGGCCTCTGCTTCCCTGGAGGGCTGGATTCTGCACCTGCTGGGAGGTAGACACCAGGACCACCTGTGCCCACCTTGATGCGGATCAGGCGTTTCTTCCAGGACCTGATCACGGAGAGATAGACGTGTTTCAGCACCTCTCGACTGAGCCGGAAGTCGACTCCCTCTGGGGTCACAGTGAACTGGAAGGCCACAGCCTGGTGTGCTTCCGCCATCCTGAGGGTTGCTTGGCACCTGGGAGGCGGCAGGAGGGTGCGTGGGCAGGCTCAGCCGCCGGGCCGAGGCTCCGCCCCCGCTATTGTCCGCGCTCCTTGCCCGCCCCCACCACCCTCCCTGGGCCAGCCTCCCCGCAGTGTCATGGTTCCCCCCAACCCCTGGCCCCAGATCAGGCCCTTCAGCCTCGCCAACCGCCTCAGAACTTTCGCACAATGGTGCAGTGGTCAGCAAGGGGGTCAGGGCCTTGAAAAGTTGAGAAACCCCGAGGACAGCGAAGGGCGGCCTCGGGGGTGTGGGCGGGTGGCCTCGGAAGCGGAGTAGGTCTGATTTGGAGTGAGGCGGGGTGTGCGTACCCCTAGCCTTGCCACGTGGGACCTTGGCACCAGCCTCCACCGACCCCTTCCCCCCACCCCCCGCCGCCACCCCCACGCCAGCTCAGAGCCCTGGGCCCGGTCGGCCGGCGGCTGGAGCTAGCCCCCAACTCCACTCACAGCTGGGGTTTGCTTCTGTTCGACTGTGGGGCCAGTTGCTCTGGCCCGTGTCCGCACGTCCTTCAGGGCAAGCCACCTAAGTCCCGCCCTCGCCGGGAACCTGACACCTACTCCCAAATTTGGGTTGAGAACAGATTTGGGGCGGCAACGAGAATCTACCCCGCTTCACCGCGAGAATCAGGAGTGGGTTTCTGCAAGCTGAAGATGGCTCAAAGGTCTGGGAGCCTGGGGGTGCCCAACGGGGCTCACATGAGGAGGGCGGCATTTGAACTAAAAATAGCTGAATGTAGGGAAAAGGTCACCCGGGTGTCAGCTGTGCCTCCTGTTCCCAGATGGCCAGCGCTCAGGGTGGGGCAACCCCGCCCCAGGGCCCTCTTTGCACTCATGACTCCCTAGTACCCGACCCAAGTCCCCCAGGTATTTCTCACTTCTAAGCTGCAGCCAGGGATGGGGGGGTGCAGAGGGCTCCCACTGGCAGAACAGGCCCTGACCACCGTCAAGCCCAGATCACCCAACAGCTGTACTTCTCAGGAGGGAAAAGGGAGGCCCCCTGCAGCGGTCCTTTGTCAATCTGTGTGCAGTTCCTGGTGGGTACTTTCCGCAGCACTCAAGTACGACTAGGACAGTGTGTGAGGGATGCAGCTAGTTTATTGTCTTATGGTACATATGCCAGGGCTTCTGCCCACTTGCCTGCGGTGGGAACCTGCTTGAACCTGGGGTCTGGGGGAGGTCAGCCTCCTTAACCCCAGTCTCAGTGGGGCTCAGCCCAGTCCCCAGGGCCTCCCCTGTGCCCCTCCCTCCAAGGTCCTGCCCTGGAGGCTCCAGGAGAACAGCAAGGAGTCGGAAGTAGTCAGGATGAGGGGTGGAAGCTGGTCAGCTGGCCCTTCTGCTGGAAGTAGAACTGGAACCGAGACTGCGCATACTCCTAGGGAAAGAACCCCGGACTGTGAGAACACTTGGGTCCAGCACCCCCCAGCCCCTCAGTCTGCCTGTGGCCACCTGACTATGCACTGATGTCTGAGAGGACCCGAGGCCCTGATGTGCTCCCTCCCCGCCATCTATCGCACATACCTGGGTTACTTACCAAGTAACCAAATTCTATAGTGGACATGGATGCCTGAAGGATGGACCAGAGACCCCAAAAGAAATGAGATGCCAGGGCATACCTAAGGGGGCAGGAGAAGCGTTCAGAGCACACCCGGCACTGCCTGAACCCCGCCACCAGGATGGCTGAGCCCCAAGGCTCTGACTTCTCCTGTCACCCTAACTCACCCTGTCCTGACTCTTCCCCATCTCAAACTGTTCTCCATCAGCCTCAGACCTCACCCTCACTTCCTGCCCCCAATCTACACTGACACCTCACCTGCAACCTGGTGTCTACCTGCCACTGTCTCCCTTTCCTCTGCATCCTGCTCTACCCTGCCACTTGTCTCCCCTCACCGATTAGCTTCCACCAGCAAATCTGCTTCCAGTTTCCTCTGCTCCTCTTGGGAGACGGTCTCACCTTTCTTTACCTCTGCCAGGTAGTGGCGAATAAAATGGAGCTGAGATCAAAAGACAAGAGTCAGGAAATGGGGAGCCTGGCGAGAATTTCCCAGTTAACACCCTTCCTCGCCATTCCTTCCAGACTTAACCCTCCTCCTCCTGTACAGGCCAGGTCCTGCTCCCCCAGCTTCTGGCCCACATACCTGCTGTCCCTGAGTGGGGTAGTTTGCAGGCTGTGCTTTGTAGAAAGGCCACTCCTCATGAGTATAATCGTAAACCCACTCACAAAAATGGTTCCCAATGTCAAAGCCCCTGAGGGAATAAGGTGGACACTCAGCCCCAAATACCCTGGGCAGCTAGGATCAGAGATAAAAGCCTGGTCTGCCTCTCTAGGACACTGTGGGAACAGGCCCACGGGAGGCCACCTGCTCACCCTCACCTGTAGTTGTAACTGCTGTACTCGAAGTCCACCAGCATGAGGCTGTCAGTGCTTTTAGGCTCTGAGAGCAGTAAGATGTTCCCTGGTGGAAAGTGGTGAGGTTCTGGTCACTCCAGGGCCCTCTGGGCCCCCTCACCTGAGGCTGGGAGACTCAGATGCATTCTCTTACCTTCTTGAATATCATTGTGGCAAAAGACCACTGGTGATGGGGTAGTGTCCAGCAGCTTCCTGTAGGGGAACAGAGGCATGGGTCCGGAGCCAGAGTGACAAAGGAGGGTCAGAAGCGCTCTCGTGGGCTACGCCTGGACTCCAGCCCTCAGCAAATCCTGGGGAGGACCCCACTAGGTGCTCACACCCCACACCTCCTGTGCTCTTCTGTCCAGCCTCCTCCCCGACCCCTGCCCCTACCCTGTCCCGTCTGCCCCCACCTGAGGTTGCCCATCTCATCCTTCAAGCTGTACATCTCCAGCAGGTTCATTTGGGGCAGGCCGGTGGGGGGCAGGTCCTGGATCTGCTTTAAGTACCTGAAGCCCAAATAACAGGATACACTCAGTGTGCTATCCCTCCCGCTTCTCCCCTCAGCCAGGCTGTCCTGCCCGTTCTGTCACTGAGTGGCTTGTCCGGCAATTTTTGGAATCCTGTTCTGCAAGAGGCCACGCTAGAGAGTGGGATACTGGAGTCACTCTACTGGAGGGGAGGACAGAGCATCAGATACATTCAGTCGCAGCCCAAAGGAATGACTGGTAGCTTGGGGGTTCAGTCATGCGCAGGAGCCCTGAGGAGGCTCCTGACTCACCGCTCCATGGTCCCAAATAGCCAGTGGGGCTCCTTAGTGAAAGGCATCTCCATGCCGTGGAACTTGGCCATCTTTGTGGCAATGGCTGCAGACAACACTGGATCTCGAAGCTCCTGTGTCTTCAGTGGCCGGCTCTGCACCCAGGAACCTATCAGGGTGGTGAAGGGGCTGGGGCAGGTGGGGGAAGGGTGGGGGAACGGAGGTGGGGGGAGTCAGGGCTTGGGGAAAATTCCCTACCTGGGGTGAGGGATGTGAAGGCAGACACTGGGAAGGGGCGGGGAGGGGGGGGGGGGGAGGAGGTCCTTCGGGTAGGTCAGGGCCGGGCTCGTACTGGGATGTACTGTTCCAGCCGGCCCTCTGGAAAGACTCCGTAGAGCTGGGGCCCCAGCGACCGCTCTGCAAGTATGGCGAACATCACACTCTCAAGGACCAAGGAGTCCACGCCCTGAAGGAAGATGGACAGTGAAGGGACCACAGTCACAAGGGGCCAGAGACAAAAGGGTGCTAACACACACAGGGTCGCCTTGCTCCTCCCACCACAGGTGGGACTCACCGCGCGGGGCGGCGCGGGGCGCTCCAGAGCGCAGGCATTGGTTTCATAACGGACAAAATACTTAGCCCCTGAACTTTAGTGTCCACTGCGCAGTGGGGACCACACCACCTGCCAGACTTGAGCGTAGAGTCTCAAGGCCACGGCGGCCCTCACTCGCCCCTCACCTGCAGGATGGCCCCATATAGCCGCAGTAGCACCTCCCGGGGCTCCTCGCCAACGCTGGGCAGGTGGTCCGGCAGCGAGCAGCGGAAGAGCAGGTTGCTGAGGCCTCCGCTGCAGACCCACAACAGGGCGCGCTCATCCCGCCGTCCGCTCCACCGGCCCGGCGTCCAGCCCCCGCGCCCCGCGCCCTCTGCCCGCCCCCGGCCCAGGAACGCCGAGAGTCCCCAGGGCCCGAGCCCGACCCGGCCCGCGCACAGGAGTGGCTGACCCCTGACCTCCCACCTCACGGGGTCAACCCTCAGCTCCTCCGGCTGCGCCTGGCGCCAGGCCCCGCCCAAGTACTCTCGGCACCACTGGTATGCGCGGCGCTCGGCGTCTCGTGAGCGCGCCGAGCCGCGCCGCCGGCTTGGGGCCGCGTCGGGGCACTTAGCCTGCAGCAAGCTGTCCTTGGTCAGGCAGCCTCCGAGAGGCCCGCCTCCGACCACATTGGTCCCCTCGGCCGCCATGGCTCCGGCGCGGCCGGGCCAACGCCCCGTCGCGGCTCAGGCCCTTCGGGCGCGCTCGGCTCCTTCCGGCCGCGCTCGGCTCCGCTTCCGGCCAGCCTGCGCGGCTCGGGTCGCACTCGGGTTCCCCTGGTTCTACTCGGCTCTCGGCGGCGCCGCTCGGCTCTCCAGGAGACCTTGCTCCGAGCGCGAGTTCCGACGGCTATGCCCCGCCCCTGCTCAGCGAGAGATAGGCCTTTGTTTGGACCGCAACCCGGAAGCAGGAAATGGCGCGGGCCAATCAGAAGCGTTGTGAACGGTCGGGTCACGTGGGCGAATCACGTGGGCTGATGGCGCGTCCTAGGAGCGGGTCGGACTGTTCGGGGCGGCTACCTGGCAACGTTCCCGTGAGGCAAGGTTCGCCTTCGCCAGGGTCCGGGAGCGCACAGGGCAGCGTGGGCGGCGGCGGCCCTTCGGTGGACACACTTGGCCCCCGGGGCAGTCGGGCAAGGAAGTTCAGTTCAGTCGCTCTGTCGTGTCCGACTTTTTGCGACCCCAGGAACTGTAGCAATCTATATGATTGCTGATATATATATATGATACGTATATATGATTGATACGTATGTGTGTGTGTGTGTGTGTATATATATATATATATATATATATATATATATATATATGATTGAATCTGTATGATACAGCAAACTATACAGGATGGATACATGCCTGCCCTCCGGAGCATCTATAGTTGCAGTGGGAGGAGACAGATAATAAACATATGAGACAATTACACATTGTGAAAGGAACTATGAAGGAAACAAGCAGCATGTATTGTGACAAAGAAATGAGGTAGGAAAAGCCTTATTTTAGACCAGGTAGTGCGGGCTTTTGGTAAGGCCAGCGCAGTAGCAAAGCCAAGGTCCTATCTCTGGTTGAGTTCAGTCGCCCAGTCGTGTCCCGTTCTTTGCAACCCCATGGACTGCAGCATGCCAGCCTTCCCTGTCTATCACCAACTCTCAGAGCCTGCTCAAACTCATGTCCATCGAGTCAGTGATGCCATCTAACCATCTCATCCTCTGTCGTCCCCTTCATGAGTCTGAGCAAGCCCCAGGAGATGGTGAAGGACAGAAAAGCCTGGCATGCTGCAGTCCATGGGATCACAAAGAGTTGGACAGGATTAAGGGACTGAACAACAAGAACAACATGTATGGATGTGAGAGTTGGACCATAAAGAAGGCCGAGTGCCTTTTGAGTGCTGAAGAATTGATGCATTTGAACTATGGTGTTGGAGAAGAGTCTTGAGAGTCCCTTGGATAGCAAGGAGATCAAACCAGTTGGTTCTAAACAAATCAACTCTGAATATTCTTTGGAAGGACTGATGCTGAAGCTGAAGTTCCAATACTTTGGCCACCTGATACAAAGAGCTGACTCACTGGGAAAGACTGATGCTGGGAAAGGTTGAGGGCCAGAGGAGAAGGGGGTGGCAGAGAATGAGATGGTTGGATGGCATCATTGACTGGATGAACATGAGTTTGAGCAAACTCCAGGAGACAGTGAAGGACAGGGAAGCCTGGCCTGCTGCAGTCCATGGGATCACAGTCAGACAGGACTAAGTGACTGAAGAACGACCACGAAAGTTCCACTTGAAAAAAGTTTTCCCTTAAAAAGAAATAGAAGCTCATTTTACAGTGAAAAATGTACAACAGTGTGTGAGTTGCTATTTGTTGTTGTTCAGTCACTCAGTCGTGTCTGACTCTGCGACCCCATGGATTGCAGCAACACAGTTCAAAAGCATGAACTGCCCTGGGTCCACTACTTCTGTAACATTCTGTATTGCCTGTAAGCAGCCAGTCTAATGGAAAGAAGGAATGACTTCTTAAAGACTTGGGTAAAGTCCCAGCTCTAGGGCAGTATCTTGAGGATTTGGGGTACATACACTGAATGCTGCAGTAGATAAAACACGTGCATCCAGGAGCCCGGGGGTTTGAACTGCCTGTCTCCCACCGTCATTCTCAGTGACTCACTCGCGGTTAGCAACTTCTGTCTCTGTAACATTAAGCTCTACTGGGTTAAACCCCTTGGTTCCCAGGTAGGGAACACTTCCAAAGGGAACTTCCTCTGCTTCCGGGGAAGGACACCTCCCTGAACCAGGATCTGCACATTCCACCAGGTCACTTTGATCTCCTCATTGCTGGCAAACCAGCAGGCAAAGAAGGAGGGGATAATATATCCTGATTATTAAGAGTAGATAGGGTTGCTGCTACTTAATGGGGCAATCAGGAGTTGCTATGCATGGAGACCAAAGCATGTTTAATACCTATTCATCTGAAACTATTCTAGAAAACTGAAGAGGTGGGAATGCTTCATAACTCATTTTTAAGGCCAGCATCACCCAGATTACAAAACCAGATAACAACACACACGGCACCATGTCTGATGAACACAGATTGAAAAATCCTCAACAAAACACTAGCAAACCAAATACAATACATTAAAAGGACCATACACTGTGATCAAGTGGGACTTTTCCCAGGGATTCAAAGATGGTTAGGGTATCCACAAATCAATTAATATAATATACCACATTAACAAGACAAAGAATGAAAACCTTATGATTTTCTCAACAGATGAAGATAAAGGATTTGATTTGACACCCATCTATGGTTTAAAAAAAATAAAGTGAGCATAGAAGGAATGTACCTCAACATAATAAGGGCCATACATGGTGATGGGTTTTATCTCTGGGTTGGGAAGATCCCTGGAGAAGAAAATGGCAACCCACTCCAGTTTTCTTGCCTGAAAAATTCCATGGACAGAGGAGCCTGGAGGGCTTACAGTCCACGGGGTCATGGAAGAGTTGGATACGACTTAGCAGCTAAACAACAGCAACAGGATGAGCCCATGGCTAACATCATAGTCAGTGGAGAAAAATTGAAACAGTTACCTCTAAAATCAGAAGCAAGACAAAATTGCACACTCTCACCACTCTTATTCAATGCAGTATTGGAAAACCTAGCAAGAGCAGTTAGGCAAGATAAAGAAATAAAAGCATCCAGATTGGAAAGGAAGAAGTAAAACTACCACTATTTGCAGTTGACATGATTTTGCATATAGAAAACCGTAAAGACCCCACCAAAAATATTAGAAATAATAGATCTGAAGGAACAAGATATGGGTAGGGGATTAAGAAGTACAATCTACCTCTTTATACCTATGTATAAAGTAAATAATCTACAAGGATATATTGTACAGCACAGGGAATAAAGCCAATATTTTATATAATAACTATAAATGGAGTATAAACTTTAAAATGATGAATCACTATGTTGTACACCTGGGATTTATATATATAAATCAATGTACCTCCATAAAAAAAAATCTTTTCAATGAAAAGATTTCTGTGACGTTATAAGGAGTTTCAACTTTAGCTTCCTGATAATAAATGGGATATTTTAAAATTTTCTGGGAAAAAATAAATAATAAATATGGTAAAATTGTGGGGCACAAAATCAACATAAAAAAGTCTGTTGCATTTAGGGAATACCCTGGTTGACCAGTGATTAGGACTCCATGCTTTCACTGCCAAGGGCCCAGGTTTGATCCCTGGTGCAGGAACTAAGATTCCATGCCATGTGGCATGACAAAAAAAAAAAAATACTGTTACGTTTCTATTTGCTAACAATGAGCTAACATAAAGAGAAATTAAGCAAAAAAAAAAAAAAAATTCCAAAAAGATTTCTGTTCTTTCTAATTTGTTTCTTCTCTCTTCCAGCCTTTTACATTTAGCTTATTTTTGCTTTTATATTAGAGTTCATTTCTTGAGACAGCCAGTAGTTGGGTCTCATTTTTTATACAGTCTAACAAGTCTCTGCATTGTAACTTAAGAGTTTATAAGATTTCTATTTAGTGAAATTGACATCTTGGTCTTAAAATTACCATGTTGCTATTTGTTTTATATTTGTCCCATCTTTGGTTTATTTATCTTTCTTTTTTTTTTAAACCTTTGCTTTATTTATTACCTTTTAAAAAAAAAAGTTCCTTGATCTTTTTTAAAAAACATAATTTTATTTATTTATTTTTGACTGTTCACCAAGGAAGCCCTGTTTATCTTAGTTTTGCTTTCTTATTAAACAAATCTGTTTCAAAATTCCATTTTATCTTCACTCAGCTAACTGGCTATATCTCTGTTAATTATTATGATTATTTTTTGCCATGCCTCACAGCATGCAGGATCTTAAGTTTCCTGACTAAGGACTGAACCCATGCCCCCTGCATTGGAAGCATGGAGTCTTAATCACTGGCAAGTCCCTCTGTGATTTTTAATGTGTATTCTTTAGATTTTATAGTATACATTTTTAGATTATCATTGTCTACTCTCAAGTAATAATAATCTCGCATATGAGAATCTCAGTCATTAAGTCATGTCCAACTCTTTGCAACCCCATGAACTATATATAGCACGTCAGACTTCCCTTTTTCTTCACTATCTCCCAGAGTTTGCTCAAACTCATGTCCATTGAGTCGGTGATGCCATCCAACCATCTCATCCTCTGTCGTCCCCTTCTCCTCCTGCCCTCAGTCTTTCACAAGAGGGTCTTTTAGACTTTTCCCATCAGGTGGCCAAAGTATTAGAGCTTCAGTTTCAGCATCAGTCCTTCCAATGAATATTCAGGATCGATTTCCTTTAGGATAGACCGGTTTGTTCTTGCAGTCCAAGGGACTCTCAAGACTCTTCTCCAGCACCACAGTTCGAAAGCATCAATTCTTCGGCACTCAGCCTTCTTTGTGGTCCAACTCTTACATCCATGCGTGACTCCTGAAAAAACCATAGCTTTAGCTATACAGACCTCTGTTGGTAAAGTGATGTCTCTACTTTGTTAATATGCTGTCTAGGTTTGTCATAGCTTTTCTTCCAAGGAGGAAGCGTCTTTTAATTTCATGGCTGCAGTCACCATCTGAACTAATTTTGGAGCACGAGAAAATAAAGTCTGTCACTGTTTCCATTGTTTCCCCATTTATTTGCC